TATTCAAAGTCATCAAGTTTAATGTGAAATCGAACATTAAACTCCTCCCCCCGCTTGTTCAGAACCCTATACAGTTGTCTCCTGTGGGAGACAACATGTTTAAGAAGTTACACCAGGTACTGAAAGCAGAGGTTCACATATGAAACAGGTTAAATCATGTCATCTGGACCAGTTTTTTTAAGTGAGAAATGTTTCATCCCCCATCCAGAGGCCTCAAAGCCTGATATTAGATTAGTGGCTGAAGGAAAATTATAGTTTTCCCATAGATCAAATGTTTTCATCCACAACACATTGCTTAGCATTTTAGTCGAAGCTAAGCAACACAGAGCCATTTGGTCTTTTAGACTTTGAAAGCAACTTTTCTTTATATACAAGTTCTCCATTGATCTCCTTCTTCTTCCATTTATCCGTAGTGGAACAGCGGCAACAATAGGTTCAGGAGAGAGAACATTTGTTTTTGCCTTTAATCTTTTTGAGTTCAGGAGAGAACACAGACCTTCCTCTCCTCATAACCAACCATAACCAACTGGGGGAACTTAAGTGTTCCAATGCCAGAGAAGATACACAATCCCTCCAACTAGTTCTGGTCTGTCTGTCCCAGGGTCTCTTCCCTGTGGGACATGTCTGGAAAACCTATACACAAAGGTGTCCAGAAGGCATCCTAATCAGGTGAACCACCTAAGTCCTTTTGACATGAAGGAGCAGCGGCTCTACTTCAAGCTCCCTCCGGATGACAAAGCTCCTCATCCTAACTCTGATGCTGAATCCAACCACCCAACCAACGTAGGAAGCTCATTTCAGCTGCTGGAATCCAGGATGTACTTTTGATCATGATCCAAACCTCATGACCATAGGTGAGGGTTGGAATGTAAATCCAGAGCTTTGCCTTTCAACTCAGCTCTTTCTTCACTATGACGAACCGAAGCAATGCCCTCATTACTGAGAACCATGCCCCAATCTGTTGATTCTTCTCTTGTTCCATCTTACCATTACTCAGGAACAAGACATTCACATATTTAAACTATAAGTTCTGCCAGTATGGTTATGTTGTCACTCACAGGTGTTGACTGTGCACTTTAATAATCTTAACTAAAATCGTTTGACTCGTTATTTTGAAATGAACGCTCTGTCATTTTGTCAGCATCATTGTGCAGTAATTTGTGTAGACATGAAAACTGAATTAATAGGTTTTACAAATATATACAACAAGAATTTTTGACGAGATTCTTAAAATCTTGTTGACTAAAGTTGTGTTTGCGTTTGACATCACAAACTAAAAAACCACACAGCATTTATTATTAAAATACAGAATCACATTCAATCTTTATTGAAGTAGCATTCAGAGAAGAAGCAGTGAGACATAAACAGCAGTAATAAGGTACGTGGAGGTTCTGAGGTTCATTAGCAGGAAGACATTACAAAACTGATTACAGTGACTGATTTGTACTATCTCAGTTGTTTTGGGGTTGATTTAAAACAAGAACTGAATGTAAACTATTTTAAATAACATGGCACATTTAGTTTAATTTTCCTGGATGAGACAACCCCACTCCCTCCCACCTGCAGAGATCACTGCACTGCAGGATTGTCACTGTAATAAACTCCATCCATCCATCCATCCATCCATCCATCCGCTTGTTCTAAATTCGGCTCATGGGGGCAGCAGTTTGAACAGGGAGGTCCAGACATCTCTTTCCACAGCCATCTCTTCTGGGAGGACACCAAGACGTTCCCAGGCCAACCGAGAGACATAGTATCTCCAGCGTGTCCTGGGTCTTCCCCGGGGTCTCCTTCCATTCGAACATGCCCAAACCACCTCCCTAGGGAGGCGTCATGGGGGCCATCCTTACCAGATGCCTGAACCACCTCAACCGGCTCCTCTCGATGTGGAGGAGCAGCGGTTCTACTCCGAGTCTCTCCTGATAACTGAACTTCTCACCCTATCTCTGAGGGAGAGTCCAGTTACCCTGCAGATGAAATTCATTTCAACCACCTGTATCTACAATTTCATTCTTTCAGTCACTACCCAGAGTTTGTGACCATAGGTGAGGGTAGGAGCATAGACTGACTGGTAAACAGAGAGCTTTGTCTTACAGCTCAGCTCTCTCTTCACCACAACGGACCGGTATAAAGTCCACAATACTGCAGATGCTGCACCAGACTTTATGTCAATCTCATGCTCCATTCTTCCCTCACTCGTGAACAAAACCCAGAGATACTTGAACTCCTCCACTTGAGGCAGAAACTAAGCCTCGACCCGAGGGTTATGAACTCGTAATAAACTCATTATGGTAAAAATCGAATCGTGTACTTGAACGTTTGCAAATGAAAATGTGTTGAACTTTGTTCCGATCAGATGATGAGGAGCATCAGCTCTTCAGAAGGCCACCTCATCCAGTCTCTGAGCTGGGACTGTGAAGCCTCACATCTCACAAATACATTTCATTACAACAATTCAGTCTGCAGACAACACCCCTGTGGTACGCCAAGTCTACATTTACAAAGGTCATCATTCTTAACAGAATGAGAAGGTTACGTGGCCCTGTGTCACTTGTTTAATTGGTGTCATCTCTTTTCAGTTTTGAATAGCTGAAGAGACTTTCAAAGGAAGAAGCTCTGCCTGCTGGATAAGCAAGGAGGAGGTCAGAGAAGAGAGACTTGGTTGGAAGTCTGATGGTTGTTTGTTCCACTCTCCAGCCTTGCTCCCTCTCCTTCCTTTATAAACACCAGCCTTTTGCACAGTCACATTTAGTTTTGTTTATTATTAACTGGGTCTGGGAGTTACTGGCAGTTCTGTTTTCTGGTTTTTGGTTGCAGGTTTAGGTTCTGGACTACAAGGTGAGGGGAGCGGCCTGAGTTCAGTGATCCACTGCTGGCTGGTCCGGGGCTCCCCATTCTTTTATCTGTTCAAATGATGGTGTTTATTAAAATATTTTATTTAAAACATTTCAATTGTCTGGACTCTACGTTGTGTGTCCTGTGAGTCCATCCAAGACATACAGACCACAACAGTGAAATATTATAAGTTTTAAAAGTCTAATCTATTTTTAAATTTATCACTAAAGGCTGCATACATTTCAGTTGTACTCACTATGAATTGACAATAAAGACTTATCCTACTGTTTTTCCAAAATAACTTGAGTCCGAAGATCTTTATAATCAACTAAAAAGGAAATGCCCATTTTATCTTTGTCAGCTGAATTTGTTGATATATTTATGAACTGAACCAAATGAACTTTCCATCACTAGTTAGAAGTAAGTGAATAGAAATACATTAAATTTTCACAAAATACACATCATGATCAAAGGCGGAAATTCCACCTCATTATTGGGGGGTGGGGTTGGGGGGAGTGTCATTCCCCAGTCTGTTTCAGAACCCGATCCGTAGTGTAGCTCATTTGTGCATGCGCTAAAAGGAATACCTTTGGGTTGCAGGGATCGCCGTTCAATATGCTAGATTAAGGAAAATGTACTAGTATAATTCTGTTTATGAATGGTAAATATAAATGGTAAATGGACTGTACTTATATAGCACCTTTCTATCTTATTTCAAGATACTCAAAGTGCTTTCCACTACAATCTGTGTCCTCATTTACCCATTCATACAGCACTCTACTAGATCTCTACAAAGATAATAGAACAAATCATTCTAAAGAGACTAATCAGTGCTTTATCACATTCATACACTGATGGGACACACATCAGAGGCTATGAGGGGTTCAGTGTCTTGCCCAAGGACACTTCGACATTTGATTGCTGGTGGATTCGAATCCCCAACTCTCGCATTGGAGGACGACTGCTCTAACCACTCAGCCACAGCCTCCCCATAAGAACTGTCTTAATTTACTTAAAAAAATATGTGCTCTATCTCCGCCGATTTTCATGTTGCTAATTTATGCCACGCGTTAAAATCATTGACATATTTACATCATGGTTTAAATGATGTGCAACTTCACCACTGAGTGGCACTGTTTCACCATGGAAATAATTCATTCTGTATCTTGCAGGGTTTTTCTCATTCAGCCCAGGCTGGGGGTCAGGACTAATGCGTCGCATATCAATCTTAACCAATGATTGTAATGGAAATACGAGTGGCATAAATTAGCTACATGAAGTTCGCCGAAGATAACGTACTTTTCTAAGTAAAATAAAACTGTTTTTATTCATAAACAATGACGATCCGTGTGACCCGGAAGTACACTACGGATCGTGCTTCCGTAACAGATGGGGAATGACAGGGGGTCTCTTCAGATACAGTCAAATGTACTGTTGTAAAATAATGGGATCTCCACCCAAGACTATGACGTAAACAAGAGATCAGATCTTCTGTTGCTTGTTTTGAGGTGCAAACATGATGGAATGCTCATTCTCTGAAACTAATCTTGTTTCTTCTTCTTTCGTCTGCTCCCTTCTTCAGGGGTCGTCACAGCGAATTAACTCACAATAAGACTTGGCAATTGTTTTTATGCCAGATGTCCTTCGTGACACAACCACAGACCACTGAGCTACCACAGCCCTCTGGGTGGAGCAGAGAGCTGCTATCTAGGGAAGAACAGATGGTGGGGGGTTAAGGGCCTTGCTCAAGGGTCCAGAGTGGAGCAAACGAGGGTGGAGGCAGGTGTGGGTGTTTCACCTTCCCCATCCACATTTTGATGTTGTCAGTCCGGGGAGTTGAACCGGTGACCTTTGGATCACAGGCCCACCCTCTGTGCCACCACTCCCCCACTTTGTCTGAAACCAGTATATATGTGTGTAAATGGGAACAGTAGCTGTGTGACACCAGCTCAGAAGTAATTTTGTGTTTTGGTACTGGATAGAGGCTCGTTCTGGTCTCTGCAGGTGATCAAGCTCAGCAGTGAGCCCGAAGTGAACTCCTTCACAGATGTTTGGTTATGGAGTCATCAAGCTAAACTCTGTTGCACTTTCTGAACAATATTTTTTTTTCCTAAACCAAAGAAATTATTTTCCTTTTCTGCTGCAGACTAATGAAACACACTTGTTCAGCAGTACACGCACCAGTAGATCAAGTTGAACAGAGTATAGGCACCGGGGAAGATTACACGAGAGAAAGTGTCAATGGTGTGGGTGTTCTGGATGACGCAAAATCTGTGAATACAATTCTTCTTCGTCCCTGTGAACTCATCGTCCAAAGCTAAATGCACCACCATTTGCTCCTGGTTGTCTGATCCATCCTCAGACACTTTGGAGGTTCGGATGTACCCCGCCAGACTGTTGGCGTCTGCCTCGTATGTCTCGTCCAGCATCATGGTCTTGCTCTGAGGCATGTCACATGCACAAGGCAGATTTTGGGACTGCGTGGAAAAGAGAAAAGACAACAGAACTTATTTAAACTTTCTGGAACTACTTGTAGTTGAACATACCTTTGGATTGCTTTTCATACCTGTTCCCTCACTTTTTCTCGTAGTCTCCGGTCTTCTCCATCCCTCACTGTTGTTAGATAGTTGACTGCAGCATACTCGAGCACAGAAAGGAAGACAAAAACAAAACTGACCCAAAGGTAAATGTCCACGGCTTTGATGTAGGAGACCCTCGGCATGGAGGCATTGACTCCAGTAATAATGGTAGACATGGTGAGCACCGTGGTTATACCTGAGGCACAGACAATGGACAGAACAAAACTGGTGTTTGTAGAACATTTGAGGATTGCTACAGTGCTAGCATAAAACCACTAATTTCAGAGCGTTTTACAAAAAGGAAACATGTGATTCACGCAGCCCAAGTCGGTCAGATTCACTCCAATTAGTAAATGGTAAATTAACTGTACTTATACAGCTCATTTCTATCTTATCAAGATACTCAAAGCTCTTTACAACACAATCTGTGCCTCATTTACAGCACTCTACTATAAGAATAATCAGTGTTTTATCACACATGAATGTGATCTAAAGCTCTGATTAGTCTATTTTTAGAATTATTTGTTCAATTAGCTTTTTAGAGATCTAGTAGAGTGCTGTATGAATGGGTAAATGAGGACAGATTGTAGTGTAAAGTGCTTTGAGTATCTTGAAATAAGATAGAAAGGCGCTATATAAGTACAGTCCATTTACCATTTACATTCATACACTGATGGGACACACATCGAAGGCAATGAGGGGTTCAGTGTCTTGACCTGGGACACTTCAACATGTGACTGCTGGTAGAATCAAGCCCCTGACACTCCTATTGGAGGACTGCTTTAACCACTCAGCCTCATCTGCCGTAGTCCAATTAGTCCCATTCATTCTCATAACTCAATCCATTTTTATCAGGTTCAGATCAAGATTCATAAAGTCAAACACACTGGTGAAGATTCTCAGTCATCCAGGACATGGTGAATAAAAAAACTTTTAAACAAAACAACTGGACTTCTGTTCTGTAGCTGCAGACGTCTCGTTTCTGATCAGGGAGGCTTTATCAAGTCCAAAAAAATGGATTTCCAAACTTTATAGAGCTGCATGAGAGGTCTTGTTACTTAGACTGACCAGCAGATTAGATTTAACACTAGAAGTCCCAGAGAAGGGTCATTTAACATTTCTACCTTTGGAACCCAGAGACGGGTCGAGTGACCTGAAGGATTTTAGCTAACATCCTATAATGAGCTGTTAACAGGCACTTTTGTTTAGTAAATAAGGCCATTACTGGTGCACCACAGGAGGGGGGCACGCTTAACTCCCAACTAACTGTTTTCCATTGAGTTTAGCCATTTAGTTTCTAGTTAGTTATATTCAGTTTATTGTATTTTATAATATGAAGATTTTTATATATATATATTGGTGGCACGTTGTTGCACATTTTGAACAAATTGAAGTCGATTTACCGTTTATTTTTCAATTGGTTTGGCTCATTTCTTGAAACCGAGATGACATTCTCAAAACACCATGTGAAACACAACTCAAGAGACTTTGCATTTTGAGGTTACTGACAATTTGTATGAAACACATATTTTGTTTTGATGTATATAGTATGTAGCTTAGTTTTGAGCAAAAAAGCACAGACCATAAGCAATTGTGTGTATGTCAAGAGGACTAAAACTTCAGCATGAGAAATATAAAAAACAACAACCGTTATTTGTTTCCATGCTTTTTATTTTTGTCATAAAAATACAAGGGATAAAACAATTCTACACATATTTACACTATGCTCTAGTGGGGGGGCTGTGTGTGTGTGAGTGGCATGTCCTCCTTGTGTGACTGGCATTTCAGCACTCACTCAGCAGTCCATCTGCACTGTCGAAACATACCTGGCACTGCCAGGGTATGTCCCTGGTACATTTGCCACATGTGTATTTGTAGCAGTTGACACATCTCACAGTTGCACAATTGTTCGTGCATCGATGTTTGATCTGACACTTTGCCCTTTTGCCAGGGCTGGTTGTGGAAGGTTGTTGCTGAAGCAGTTTCTCCTTGCGTGCCTTCTTCTCACAATTAATTTGGTTATTTTTTTCTAAACTGTCATTTTGAACCCACTTCTCTTTTTTCTGAAAGAAAAACATTACTAAAATCTTTTAGAAAAACTTTTGCATATATCTTGAAACAGATTGTATGTTTTGCAAACTTTTGTTTTGTTTTGTTCATTTGGCAAAATGACCTGGATAATGCATCTCTCCCAAAACACTTCATGTATGCTTCAAAACAAAATATGTGTTTCATACAAATTGTCAGTAACCTCAAAATGCAAAGTCTCTTGAGTTGTGTTTCACATGGTCATCTCGGTTTCAAGAAATGAGCCAAACCAATTGAAAAATAAACAGTAAATCGACTTCAATTTGTTCAAAATGTGCACCAACGTGCCACCAAGAGATATAAGTTCAAAATATAACCAGTTGATTTCGCATCTGTTTGGAGTATTAGACGGACGTTTGTGTGAGTTCAGCTCATCTCTCCCCTGCTGATTCCTAAGGCAATGGCCACATTTACAAATGAAAGGATGCTAATTGGAGCCATCAGAGTTGTCTGGTTTGGAGCACTACTTTGACTAAGGCTGCGCTTTTTTGTGCAAGTGAACCTGGCTTCTAAATCCCCCGCTCCCTGGATTGGACATTGGAATGCAGTCTGGTGAGGTGGGTGTGTCTGAGTTACTTGTGTGCATATTTAAAACAAATGGCAGTTAATGGCCCGCAAATTGTTGAGGAGAAGGAGGGGGTTTGTCCTCAGGATCTTGAAAATCTAGTCACTCTAGTGCTAAGGGTCTTTTGACCCTTTTTCAGGACTTCTGGGGGGAGGTCGAAATTCCTGGGACTTCTAGTGTTAAACCACCTGCCTCTCACAACAGAGGGTCATTAAGGTCTTTGTTAGCCTGGCTCACAGTGAAATGTTTTGTTCACCTGCATGAAGGTGTTCATCAGCTTTAATGCTGCACTGTAGGTTTTAGAAAGTTGAGACTTCCTCCTCTGTTTAAAGATGAAAGGTTTTCACCCCCACTTTCAAACCATCTGTCTTCTTTGACCACAGTATGAACATGTTGGTCCTCAGCAGGGTGTCCTTGAGGTGAAGGTGAACTGCTGAGTCTAGTTCTGAAGAGCTGCTCTCCGGTGTTGAGCCATGCCTCTGTGGAGAGGTTGATTAGTTTCAAATTCAAATATAATTTATTAATCCCAAAGGGAAATTAATTGTTGTTGTAGCTCATCTTGGTTTCATTAGAGTTGTTCTAGATGCTGATGGCTTTGGGCAGGAAGGATCTCTTGTAGCAGTCCGTCCCACAATGGATCCGAAGAAACTGGCTACAGATGTCAATCTGTCCACCCAGACCCAGCAGACCTCTCGGTCCTCTTGGGCAGCAAGACTGCCTGAATGTTGGGCAGAACTTCTCCCTGAGCGATGGCCATTTCTCTCAGCAGCCTGCCAAGCCCCTTATTGCCACAGACTTAACTGCAGGTGCCGGGGATCTTGGTCCTCCCGCTGTCACAAGCTGCGTTTCCCGCTACCTCCAAGATCTCTGCAGTCAGGCACTCAAGCACTGCCTCCAGGTAGACGGGAATGCATTCACGGCACCTCCTTTTACACTGATTTGGGATTTGGGGCTGTAGTTGAGATTTGAGCTTTTGAGATGTTAATCAGCTGCTCCCAGTTGTAGAAAACCACCATGTTGTTATGGTTACGCATCATAACAAACGTCCAAAAGTAAAAAAGGTTTCAGTAAAAATCCTGCCAGCAGCACAGCATCTGATACCAGAGGAAGTAATCATCTGAAAAAAAGTGATTTACATTCAGAAAAAAGATTAATTAAAGTTTTCAAAAGCAAAATCTCAGAATGAATGTGAGAGCTACTCCAATATGCAGCCACCTTGAGCGGCGCAATTCTGGAATCCAGTATAGAGATCTGAACTGCAGACACACCGCTCAGTTTGGGTTTGGGGGTTCTGTCCTCAGGATGGACCAGCCTCTGTCTGAGTCCTGTTAGGTTTGAAATGCACCAGGATGTTGTGTTTGTAGAATTTCCTCCAGAGTTTCTCAGATCCACCAGCAACATGAGTAGGGGCCTGCAACCTTTATGAGCAAAAGAGCCATTTTTGCACCTTCGTTCACTAAATTAAATGTGTCCAGAGCCGCAACAACCTGCTACAACTGTGATTATCAAGTGGTGGCCCGTGGACCACTTTAGATTTATTGGAAGGGGCTTTTGTGACCAGTAGGGGCCACATATTATAATGCTAAAAATATCTAATAATTTTTAGCATTGATTGATATTTTTACAATTTAAAACAAAATACCAGATTCTTGTAAAGACGGAAAAAAAAAAAAAATTTATTATTTTTTTAACCAATTTTTAAACTACGAACTATGCAGACCTATGTGATTTTTTTAATTGCTGAAAAAATAAGTATAGAAATAAAGCATAAAGTTAAAGTGAGTATTTTATTCTTTGAAGTAATGGCATATTTGCAAAAGAAATGACCACAAAGCTGAAAAATTAAGATGGCTAAAACTAGCTAAAACTAGCTTTATTTTTGTTTGTAACAACCAATAAAATTCAGTTTTATGTTAGTTTTGGTCAAAGCTTGAAAAAGCTGCTGCAGGGGGAACAAAGAGCCGCAGCTTGCAGACCCCTGAACATGAGGGATGACAACGTTTCTGTGTTCGTTCTTCTCTCTGTTTTGTTCTGTTCAGATTTCCTTTCTGATTCAATAAAGGTCCAGTCAAGATCTCTACAGGTCTCTGGGGACATGTTTGGTCCTATGGTGTAAAGTTCTGATAGAAAGTTTGTTCCAGTGGGTGGTAACAGTTCTGATCTGTGTGAGTTAGTTTCCTATAAACTTCAGTCTATCTCAGTCCGTGGTCACCAAACAGTCCACCTTGTTGTTGTCATCCTCTGGTGAACTTGATGTTGTTGCAGCATGTTTTTCTTTGGCATTTAATGAAAGCAGAGTATAAGATCTTAGAGAGGTGACAGTTTTATGTTGTTTCTGTGTTTTATTTCAGCTTTTACTTGTTCTTTTAATGTTTCTCATGTTTTATTTCTTGTCTTAATGTTTTGTCTTTTAAGTTTTATTCAGCTGTAAAGCAGTCAGGATAACTTGACATTGACAAATATAAAACACTACAACCAGATTCAGCAAGTTATAAAATGTCAGTTGGCAAAAAAGAAAAAAACAAACTTGTAAACAGAAAGCATCCATCATTAGTCTCTTATTCAGTGAAGACTTTAAGACGTTCAGAACTCTTTTTGGTGCTTAAAAACTGAATTTCAGGAATTATATAAATATTTTTAGATCATTTACAATTTTATTTTAAACAGATAAAAACAGCCTTACAAAAGAAAAACACACACACACACACACACACAGAAACACCTCCCCCCCAACATACACAGACTCGAACAAAAGTAGAAACACTAAAAATAAAAGAACAAAAAACAAAAAGTAAATAAAGTTCTTGCCAGCATTTTATCTGTTTGAAAAGGAGAAGGAGGAAGTGTAAACTTTTTTAATCCCACCCCTCATTATTTCTAAAACAATATTTACCTGCAATATATTATTATTATCTTGATATGGTATTCATCTAATAAATGTCTATACAGGAATACATATGAGTAAATAGCAAACATTAAACAATATTCACAACCTCAGATATACAGTATATATACTACACATGCATAATTACCTCCACCAAGAAGGTTGTTCTCAGTTGGTTTGTCTGTCTGTGAGCAAGACTACTCAAAAAGTTTTGAACAGATTTTCATGAAACTTTTAGGAAATTCTGGGATTGTCACAAAGAACTTATAATTAATTTTGTGTAGTGATCTGGATCATCATCTGGACCCAGGAACTAAAGAGGCTGCTGCAGCTCGCTGTGCTACTGACAGAGATGGAAAGAAAACATGTAGACAAAAAATAAATTAAGATAAATCAGAACAGATATCATGTCTGTCTGATGTGATCTATGTCTGTCTATCGACAGAGACATCTGAAGCTGCTGCAGCTCACCACAGTGATGACCCTCAGGTCCTGGAGGAGGTGAGCTGACAAATATACATCCATCATCCATCCACCCATCCACCCTTCATCCATCCATCCATCCATCCATCCACCCATCCATCATCCATCCATCCACCCTTTCATCATCCATCCATCCACCCATCTATCATCATTATCCACCCATCTATCATCATCCATCCATCCACTCATCCATCATACATCCATCCACCCATCCATCATCCATCTATCCATCCAAACATTCATCCATCCATCCATCCATCCATCCATCCATCCATCCATCCATCCATCCATCCATCCATCCATCCATCCATCATCCATCCATCCATCCACTTATTATCTTTACTCGATTCTTCTTTTTCAAGTCACTGGTGCCCCTAGGGACAATTTAGAGTTACCAGTCAATCTAACATGCATGTTTTTTGTATGTGGGAGGAAATCCACACATGCACGAAGAGAACATACAAACTCCACCTAGAAAGGCCCTGGCGACCAGTACCGGTACCAGAACCGCAACCTTCGTGCTGAGAGGCGGTAGCTCTACCAACTGAGCCATGGTGCTGCAAAATATATAATTAATAATATTTTTTATAATAGTAATAAAAATAAGCTATAATTACATAATACATTATGCAATAATTATACCTGAAACTTCTAAGTATACCAAAAATACACAATTGCATTTTATTCATACTTAACATTGTTATTATTCCCCTTCTTCCTTGTTGGCTTTCAATCTTGCACTTTGCAACCAACATTTTTCAGTCAGCGTCTCTATGGACACGTCTTTTCTACACCTTGACGTCGTTCAGTTGTCACCACAATTCCCACCTTGTTTAAATAAAAGACAAAGTCGCCTTTTCTGTGCATTTTTAAGGAAATGGTGCAGGGGTCTTGCATCCTCTTACCTAACGAGACTCTGGCAGGGACAGCCCTGCGGTCGATCCAGAAGGACACCCACGACAGCATGACCATGAGCGTGGCAGGGAAGTACGTCTGCAGCAGGAAGAAGAAGATGTGGCGCCTCAGAGTGAAGTTGATGTACAGACGGTTGTACCAGCCTGGAGACGGAGTAAAAAAAAACAAAAAAACATTTCAATTCAATTTCAATTCAGTTTATTTATATAGCGCCAAATCACAACAAAGTTGTCTCAGGGCACTTTACAGAAACATTCACATACATAAAAGTCAATTAGTAAAGTTCTCTATCTAAGGAATCCAGCAGACAAGTTGAATCTTGGCTTCGCCACAGTCTCCCATCCTGAGCAAGCACAGTGGCAACAGTGGAAAGGAAAAACTCCCTTTTAAAAGGAAGAAACCTCCAGCAGAACCAGGCTCAGGACAAGCGGCCATCTGCTTTGACCGACTGGTTTGAGAGGGCAGGAAGGAGAGACAAACAAACACAGAATGGTAGGTCCAGGCATAGGTCCAGGTGTATCTGAAAGACAAAAAAAAACACGTTAAGGATAGAAAAAATAATTACAAATACAAAACAGGTTGAGCAGAGTAAGAAAAGACAGTAGCAGAGTGAAAATTGTGGTCAGTTTGTCCTCCAGCAGTCTAAGCCTTTAGCAGCATAACTTAAGGGACAGCTCAGGAAACCCAAGCTGACCCTAACTATAGGATTTAGCAAAAAGGAAAGTCTTAAGCCTAGTTTTAAAACTGGATAATGTGTCAGCCTCACGGACAGAGATTGGAAGTTGGATCCACAAGAGAGGAGCCTGATAACTGAAAGATCTGCCTCCCATTCTGTTTTTGTAAAGTTTAGGAGCCACAAGTAAACCTGCAGTCTGAGAGTGAAGTGCTCTGTTAGGAAAATATGGAACAATAAGATTTGTAATATAAGATGGAGCCAGGTTGTTGAGGGCTTTGTAGGTTAGAAGTAAGATTTTGAATTATATTCTTGATTTGTCAGGGAGCCAATGGAGAGAAACTAAAACTGGAGAAATATGATCTCTCTTACTAACTCCAGTTAAGACTCTGGCAGTAGCATTTTGGATCAGCTGAAGACGTTTTAAAGACGTATTTGGACATTGAGATGTCCCCATTGCAATAGTCCAGTCTAGACGTGACAAATGCATGGACCAGTTTTTCTGCATCATTTTTAGATAAGATGTTTATAATTTTAGAGATATTACGCAGGTGGAAGAAGGCAGTTCTAGTAACGTTTTTAATGTGGGGGATAAAAGACATGTCCTGGTCAAAAATAACACCAAGATTTTTAACATTAGAGCTGGAGGACAGATTAATGCCATCTAAGGAGGGAGAAAGACTGAAAAATTCATTCCTAAGGTGCTCAGGTCCAAAAACCTCAGTTTTGCCTGTGTTCAGCAGGAGAAAATTAAGTGTCATCCAGGTTTTTATGTCTTTAAGACATGCTTGTAGTCTAAGTAGCTGATTGGATTCATTGGGTTTAATGGACAAATATAATTGTGTGTCATCAACATAACAATGGAAATTTATCCCATGCTGTTTAATAACTTTACCTTATGGAATCATATACAAAGTAAAGAGTATTGGCCCAAGCACTGAGCCCCGAGGAACTCCATGACTAACTTTGGTGTATGAAGAAGATTTATTATTTACATTTACAAACTGGAATCTATCAGATAGATATGATTTAAACCATTATAGAGCTGTTCATGTAATCCCAATATCATATTCATGCATCTGTAGTAAAATATTGTGATGAACTGTATCAAATGCAGCACTGAGGTCTAACAGGACCAGTATAGACACAAGTCCATTGTCTGAGGCCATGAGAATATCATTAGTGACTTTTACTAGTGCTGTTTCTGTGCTATGATGAGCTCTAAACCCTGACTGAAACTCTTCAAACTGATTATTTCTTTGTAGATGTTCACGCAACTGACCTGCAACTATTTTCTCTAGAATTTTTGAGATGAAAGTTAGATTAGATATAGGTCTATAGTTGGCCAGAATTTCTGAATCAAGATCAGACTTCTTAAGTAAAGGTTTAATTACAGCAACCTTAAAGCTCTGTGGTACATAACCATCCATTAAAGACAAATTAAGTAGATCCAAAATGTGGACATTAATTAGGGGAAATACCTCTTTAACCAGTCTGGTTGGGATGGGATCTAACAGACATGTGGATGGTTTGGATGAGGTTATTATTTTTGACAATTCAGAGAGCTCAACAGGACGAAAACTGTCCAAACATAAATCAGGCTCTAGTGAAATTTTTAAAGTTGTCTCATTTGACAGGGGACTAGAGATCGTAGAAGGAAGGATGGTTTGAATTTTTTCTCTAATTGAAATAATTTTATTTATAAAGAATCTCATGAAGTCATCACTACTTATAGTTGTAGGGATACATGGTTCAACAGAAATGGGACTTTTAATTAGTCTAGCAATAGTACTAAACAGAAAACTAGGGTTATTTTTATTCTCCTCTATTAAAGATGAGTAATATAAAGTTCTAGCATTACGGAGAGCTTTTTTATATGTTAGCAGACTATCTTTCCTAGTTAAATAAAATTCTTCAACATTAGTAGAGCGTCATTTTCTCTCCTGGCTTCTAGATGCCTGCTTTAAAGTATGTAACTCAGAATTGAACCAAGGAGCCAGTTTCCTCTGATTGATTACTTTCTTTTTCAGTGGAGCAATTTTATCAAGTGAAGTTTGCATTGAAGTTGTAAGATGATCAACTAGATGATCTAAGTCTCTGTTCTCTGATGCATTACTCTGCAAGACAGAGGAAAACAATGATGGAAGAGATTGTTTAAATTTGGTTACAGCATTTTCTGATAAGCACCTGCTGAGATGAAATTTACTCTCAGTGACTGTCTAGTCATTTAATGTAAACTCAAAGGTTATTAAAAAATGGTGGGACAGAATAGGATTTTGAGGAACTATTACTAAGTCCTTAATCTCTATACCATAAGTCAGAACTAAATCAAGAGTGTGATGATAAGAATGAGTAGATGTGCAGACGTTTTGGGTAAAACCAACTGACTATTAAATTATTAAAGGCTATGCTTAAGCTATCACTCTCAACATCTACATGAATATTGAAATCGTCCATTATTATGACTTTATCAGTATTTAATAGTAAGTCAGTTAAGAATTCAGAGAATTCAGACAAAACTGAGAGTAAGCGCTTGGTGGACGATATATAACAACTAGTAAAAGTGGCTTTTCTGATTTCCATTTTGGATGAGAAAGACTGAGGGACAGTGATTCAAAAGAATCATAACTAATAACTGGTTTGGCATTAATCAATAATCCTGACTGAAAAATAGAAGCTACTCCTCCACCTCGGTCAGTTGTTCTAGGAACATGAAAATTTAAATAATTAACAGGAGTGGATTCATTTAAACTAACAAAATCCTCCTGTTGTAGCCAAGTTTCTGTCAGACAGAATAAATCAATATGATGATCAGTTATCAGTTCATTAACTAACAGGGATTTAGAGGAAAGAGATCTGATGTTCAATAATCCACATTTAATGATTTTATGATTTTGCTCTGGTAAAGTAACTGTGTTTATTTTAATCAGATTTTTATGGTTTATATTTTTAGAACTGATTTTTGGTTTATTTAATTTTTAATTTAAAGTCAATGTTTGCATATCCCTTAATGTCAGATTTAAGAGGAGACTAAGGTATTTAAATGTCACTAACTGAAGAGGAAATAATATTATACGAGTGACAGAATTTCTGTGTGAATGTGTTGAGGAGGCGGTGGCTTAATGCCAACCACACAGTGTGACTGCAGGGCCCAGCAATACTTTAACATGTGGTGATTGTAGGAAATGTACTGAAAATGCCCTGCGGAAACAGCCACACTGTGAAATAAACAAGCTGATGTGCCCGTCGTTCAAGGATTTGAATATTGAATGAAGACCAAAGGTAGGTGTTTTATTTTTGCTCATCTGAGGCAGCAAGGAGTGACAGATTCTGGTGAGTCGAGGGAGCAGTTTTATTGACCACCATCAGATCCAACAACAGAGCCAGGGGGTGGCCAATGGTGGCCTTGGCCACCACACATGGATCTTCGGCCAAACCAATCATTAGATGAAATGGTAAATGGACTGTACTTATATAGCTCCTTTCTATCTAAGGAAGATAAAATTCTTTACAACACAATCTGTGCCCTAATTTACCTCTACTAGATCTCTAGACTCTACTAGATCTCTACAAAGACAATCTGTTCTGTGATTTGTAGACATACATGAGTAGTTTGAACTGGTTTTGAAAGTGAACCGGTAACCAGTGCAGTGAGGCCAAATCTGGTGTAATGTGCTCTCTTTTGCCTGTACTGGTTAAAAATCGGGCTGCTGCATTCTGGACAAGTAGTAGTCGTGCTATGGAGGTTTGACTGATACCAAACAGGAGCGAATTGCAGTAATCAAGCCTAGATGTAATGAATGCATGTATTACTGTCTCCAGGTTATTTTTGGACAATATGGGCTTCAGTTTAGACAGCCGCCTCAGTTGGAAGAAACATGATTTAACAATCATGTTTACATGATTAAGTTTCAGGGAAGGGTCCATTATCACTCCCAGATTAGTGACTCTTTGTTTTTCTGACAGGGTTAGAGCGGAGAGGTCAATCCAGTGGTTTGTGATCGTGTCATTGGGAGGGAACAACATGACTTCAGACTTCTTTTCATTGAAACTTAAGAAGTTTAAAGCCATCCAGTCCCTGATGTCAGCCAGGCAGTCGAGCAGAGGTTGAATAGAGCATGTGCCATTGTGTCTTAGGGGGAAGTAAATTTGACAGTCATAGGCGTAGAAGTGGAAGGGCATGTTGTGTTTCCAGAAAATAGCACAAAGCAACAGCAAGTATAAAGAGAATAGGAGGGGACCCAGGATGGACCCCTGCGGAACCCCCCATTTAAGCTCTGCCGCTGCAGAACTAAAATCCTTGATGGAGACACAAAAGGATCTGTCAGTGAGGTAGGATCTGAACCATTTGAGGGCTGACCCTGTGATGCCCACCCACTGCTCCAACCTAGCAATGAGGATTTCATGGTCGATGGTGTCAAAGGTGGCTGTGAGGTCCAACAGGACAAGCAGCACAGCATCACTGGTATCAGTGGTTAAGAAAATGTCATTAAAGACCTTTGGGCAGGCCAAAGTATATGTATAACTGCAGGGCAGTTTCAGTGCTATGGAGAGGTTTAAAACCAGATTGGAATAGCTCTAAGATGGCATGACCCTCCAGGAAGTACTTCAACTGGGACTCGACTATTTTCTCCAGTAGTTTAGAAACAAATAGGAGTTTGGAGACAGGCCAGAAGTTGGAAATGACTGAGGGGTCAAGGTTTGGTTTTTTCAGGAGAGGCTGGACAGCAGCATGTTTAAAGGATTTTGGCACTACGCCAGTGGACTACTGTTCACTATAGTAAGAATGGACGGACCTAGAGTTGGAAAAACCTCCTTTAGTAGTCGAGGGGGGACCACATCAAAGGGGGAACCAGACGGTTTCAAGCTGCACATAACCTGCTCTAGAGAAGATAGAGTGATGTTTTCAAAATGGTCAAATGGAGCTACAGATTGAGGTGGGATGGATGGGTCATGAGTTGGAGGGGAAATGAGAGCCCGGGTGGTCGTAATTTTTTCCAAAAAGAAATGTAAGAAGCTGTCGCACAGCTCAGTTGAGGCTTCCAGAGGTGATGGTTCAGTGAGGTGAAGAACAGAGTTTAGGGTGGAGAAGAGGACATGTGGGTTTTGAGAGTTTGAGGTAATTATATCAAAGAAGTATTTGGATTTAGCAGCTTTAACTGTTTTCTGATAACGGCGCCAACTCTCTTTAAGTATTTGAAAAGAGACCTGCAGCCTGTCTTTCCTCCACTTTCGCTCCGCCCTCCTACACTGCTGCCTAATGGCCTTGGTGACCTCACTCAGCCAAGGTTCTGGTCTGAGTTTAGATTTTTTGGTTTTAACAGGCGCAACATGATCCAGAGTCTTTAAGCAGACAGAGTTGAACTGGGATGTCAGCTCCTCAGTGGTAGTGAGAAACACCGGGGGCTGAATTATCTTTTCAGAGTTACAAACATCTGTGAAACGTGCGGCGGTGAAGTGGTTAATGGTCCGGCTACTACGTGCAGGAAATACTACTACGCTTAGGAGTTAGATGAGGGGAGGGTGAGCTCAAACCGGACTGGCATGTGGTCTGAGAAAACATTATCACCAATTTCAAGATTACTAACAGTCACATCATGTGTTAAAACAAGGTCCAGTGTGTGTCCGCGCTCTTGGGTGGGACCGTTTACATGCTGAGTTAGATTAAATGAGTCCAATAAATCGGCAGCACGGTGGCGCAACTGGTAGAGCTGCTGCCTCTCAGAGAGAAGGTCCTTGGTTCAAACCCCGGTCCAGGGGCCTTTCTGGGTGGAGTTTGCATGTTCTCTCCGTGCATGCGTGGGTTTTCTCCGGGTGCTCCGGTTTCCTCCCACAGACCAAAAACATGCATGTTAGGCTGATTGGTAACTCTAAAATTGTCCCTAGGTGTGAGTGAGAGAGTGAATGGTTGTTTGTCTCGTTTGTCTCTATGTGGCCCTGTGATGGACTTGCGACCCGTCCAGGGTGTACCCCACCCCTCGCACAGTGACTGCTGGACATGGGCACCAGCGACCCCCGTGACCCAAAATGGAATAAACGGGTAAAGATAATGGATGGATGGATGGAGTTCAATAAATCTAAAAAGTCCTTAACCAAGGTATCCTGATGCATGCTCAATAATCCAGGTAGAAAAATCCAAAAAAGTTCAATCTGGTTCTCTGGACATTAAAAAAAAAAAAAAAAAAACAAAGCAAAAAAATATATAGAAACGTTTCGTCTCCCATCCAAGAGACTTCCTCAGTCTGAGGTGCTGTTTTCTGCTCAGTCTCTTAAATAGCACCTTCTCAGAGTGGATCAACCAGTTTGCTGCTGACAACCAAAACCAGCTGATCACATGCTCAAGAAGGACCATCAGCCTAACAATGGATCATTAGCACACTGATGGCTGTTTACTATTCACAGAGGGCTGAGTGATACTAGCAATCACAGCATTGTAAGAGGGGGACAGTTGAACCCGGAGGCCTCCACCCCTGTTTAATGATGGACGATTTCTTTTCACAAAGATGGCCTCCTTTACTCCTCTCTCAAACCATCGTTCCTCTCTGTCCAGGATGTGAACATCTTCATCCTTGAAAGAGTGATCGCTGGTCTGGAGATGAGTGTAGACCGCAGAATCCTGGCCTGATGATGTTGATCTTCTGTGCTGGGCCATCCTTTTGGCCAGTGGCTGTTTAGTTTCCCCGATGTAAGACTGATCACAGCCCTCCTGACACTGAACAGCATACACAACATTACTCTGTTTGTGCCGGGGGACTGGATCTTTGGGATGAACCAGTCATTGCCGTAATGTATTTTGGGGTTTAAAAGCCACTGGGACGCTATGTTTAGAAAATAAATGTCTCAGTTTCTCTGATACTCCCTCACCATACGGAATGACCACTGGTCTGGGTCTGGGTTCCTCCTTTTCACCTGATGGCTGACTGGAGTCCTGTTCGGGTTTCTTCTCTGCTTTCAGGAAGGCCCAGTTAGGATATCCACATTGCTCTAGAGCCTGTTTTGTGTAGGATTTCTCCTTCTGCCTGGCTCCCAAGTTAGTGGGAATGCTGTCTGCTCTGTGATACAGAGTCCTGATGACTCCTAACTTGTGCTCCAAAGGGTGATGGGAGTCAAACTGCAAATACTGGTCTGTGTGGGTGGGTTTGCGGTACACCTCGGTTTGCAAATGTCCTCTATCAGAGACTGAGACCTCACAGTCCAAGAAAGCCAACTTGCCATTTTTTACATCTTCTCGTGTGAACTTGATGTATTTATCCACAGAGTTGATGTGGTCAGTAAAATGTTGGACTTCTTGAGATTTAATTTTAACCCAGGTGTCGTCAACATACCTGAACCAATGACTTGGTGGTGTCCCTGAAAAGGACGTCAAGGCTCTCTTTTCTACCTCCTCCATGTACAG